CCTGCTCTACTACCATATGTTGGAGGAGTCACGGACAAGATTGGCTACATCTTGAAGCGAGCGTCCATTAAGACATACTACAAGCCGCTGAAGAAGATTAGTCAATTTTTACCATCCATCAAATGTAATATTCCTCTACAAGATGCAGGTGTGTACAAGCTAGATTGTGAATGTGGTCTCTCTTACATAGGTCAAACAAAGAGATCTATAAAAACCCGCGTGAAGGAACATATAGCTGATGTGAAGCACCGACGCTCCGGGAAGTCTGCAGTCTGCGAACATGTTCAAGATCGTCCCCACCATTACATTAGATTTGATAAACCACAAATTCTCGCAAAAGAACACCGATTCCTACCAAGGATGATACGCGAGGCTATTGAAATTAAAAAACATCCAAATTTCAATAGAGAAGATGGTTGGGTGCTACCATCTGCTTGGGATCCTATAATCAACAAAATTAAACCCAAACCCAAGCATACCACTGCAAGACTTCATGATACTATAAGCTCGTTTTGCGTAAATCGGACCAAAAATTAATATTAAAAAACTGAAGGTAGCCGGACTAACTATGACATTGGGACGTTAAACATCTCAGTCCCCCCCGTGACCATGGGCGCTGTAAAGCACCCGAAACGTCGGGATAATAATAAAAATAAATTAAAGTAATTAAACGCGATAAAATCCGTAAATAATAGTTTTATTCAAAGAAGTATATTACCTGCTGAACAACGTAATTCAACCATTAAAGAAAACCATTCAGAACCTACTGCTGGACACTTAGGAGTCTTCAAGACCTACAAACGCCTGTCTCTCCGATATTACTGGCCGGGTATGCACGCCGATGTCGTGAAGTTTGTTTCAGCATGTGATACTTGCATAGCACATAAGCATCAAAATCATGTTCCGTCAGGTATTATGGGACACCCTAAGGTATGTTCTAGACCCTTTCAAACAATTAGCGTGAACCTTGTAGGACCTCTTCCACCGACGAGAAAGCAAAATTGCTACATATTCGTGGTTACATGTTGCTTTAGCAAATATTGCCTCTTATTTCCCATAAAACGAGCCACAGCTGAAATAGTAAGTAGGATTCTGGAAGAAAGTGTATTTTTAGTACATAGAATTCCCTCCACCGTAATACTAGACAACGGTAAACAATTCGTTAGCGCTACTCTAAAGAACACCCTTTCTAAATATAAAGTACCTAACCTACATTATACGCCCAAATACTCACCACACGTAAACACAGTAGAACGTTATAATAAAACAATAATTACTGCGATATCCACATATATTGAAAATGATCATAGAGTGTGTGGTAAACTAATTCCTCAAATTCAGTTCGCAATAAATAGCGCAGTTAATGAAGTAACTGGCTACACTCCCTCTTTTCTCGTATATGGCAGAGAATTAGTTTCTTGTTATTCTCATTACGCCGATGCTGAGTCCGATGACATTATTTATCACCCTCGAGACTCTTATGCTGAGAATTTAGGTTGCCTGTCTAGTATCTTTGACAAAGTGCAAGCCCTTCTACTACAAGCACATTCCAAAAATTGTCATACTTATAGTTTACGTCGTCTGCCTGCTGAATATAATGTAGGGGACCTAGTATGGAAAAGGACATTTTATCAAAGTGATAAAGATAAATACTTTAATAAAAAATTAGCTCCGAAATTCACTAAATGCAAAATTATTACTAAGAAATCGCCACTTGTGTACGAATTATCTGATATGACCGGTAAATCTATAGGATATTGGCACATAAAAGACCTAAAACTCGTAAATTATACCAAATAAATATTTTCCTCGGTACCTAGTTGACTAGAAACAGATACTTTCGGATTTTACTACTAAAGACGCAAAATCCTTCTTCAGTTGGCGAGGTACTGTAACGTTGCTTCTGAATGCACCCTTACAAATACTTATAATTGATTGATCTTAAATCTTAAATAAATAATAGTAATATAATATTCTAATCTAAAAATAAAGAGTAACGTATTACTACATATTGTTAATTTAAAATAGTTATTCTACGGAACCATAGACTAGTTAATTTAATCCGCGCAGCGTGAACCATTTTGCTCAACGATCTCTAAAACAAAAGACTCGATAGGTTTCGGACACCACGACCAGTCCCCGTTCGGGCCATTCCTTTTTCATACTAACACCGTTAAACCTGCTTACCTACAATTTAAATTATTCGAGGTGCAGTTGATCCCGCTGGGGTGAGTTCTTATTTAATGAAACATTATAACTGTTCTGCTTAATTAATACCTCTTTTGCTGAGGCTGCTTAGTGCTTAGCTTTAAGAATTTTAAGTTCCTACAAGGGGTGCTGGAATTTACTAGGGCGCATATAGTGCTATAGGAAGTTTCCCTAATGCTGGCCTCCGTCTGGAATTCCAGGATCTACTACCACCTAGCATCTACCTACGCATTTACCTAAGGGCTACTGCTGCCAAGCCGCCAGCTAACGGAGTGTTGGCCTACCCTCCTACCAACGGCCATCATCACTATCGGCTTGGCTTCACCGGCCCTTCTGCTAACTGGCTGCCTACGGCCTTGGGGGAACAGCTCTTGTACTTCGCCTCTACGTCAGGCCAGTGATCCCCTTAATAGAACTTACATGTACGTGTACGGAAGTAAGATAAATAAATAATTACAATACAGTAAATCTTGGCTTTTTAAGAACCCTATTCTGTACCCCTAACGGTACACAAGAAACATTAAAAAAAATTGTGGTGTAAATCCACACAATAATAAATACTTAAACTGTTATGCTGCTGTGTTTTTCAAAATATAATAATTAGCATTTTTTTATCGACAGACTATAAACAATACTTTTTTTTTATTCTTGACCACTGAATTGTGAAGTAATACTTAAATTTATTTCTATTCTTGATCACTGAATTGTGACAAAATTTTATGTTCATAAAACTTTCTATGTTTTTAAATATTACTACTAAATATTAGCACTATTATTAGGATCAAAATTAGTTAGTCTGCATAAAGTGGACGCTACTTTTTATCACTGGAAGAGTGGAGTTTTTTTTGGGTTTTTACTAGTATCCAAGTCCTTTATCGGCTTTCGGTTTTGAGTTTAAAGAGCGCGCAAAACGCCGCGTATATTACCTATAGTAATTTTGTTTTGTTTATTATATTCTGGCAATAAACAACAATATGAATTTATTTAAAAAATAATTACTACTACATATTGTTTATCGAATATTTCATATGAAAAATACATACTAAATTTCACCTACAAATAGTTACAAATTTGGAATTAATCACGATATTTTATGCACGAAATAATCTTATTTTACATATTTTCCTAGATCTATTTAGCAATAAAGTGGAAATAACATAAGTATTCAAATACTATGTGTATTGGGGTTAAAAGAATATCCATTTCATTATAATTCCTATTATTTTTAAATTAAAATTTTCGGAGAATAGCTAAGTCTAGATAGGTATAAAGATTTACAAAAAAACCGCTTAGCGGCTTGCTTTGAGTCGGTCGTGTCAGTGACCTCATAGCGGCCGTAGACTATTATTTATTTTGTGACGTAGATAATATTATGTCGACACGTGTCGGTAAGCTCAGAAGCAAATAACATTTTTAGAAATGTAATATTAAGTTATCTGATTAGAAACCCAAAAACCCCATTTAAGGCAACCAAAAAAATTCATTATCATAATTGCCATGCCTATGTTTACACCTATACGTCCCTGAAACGACCAACAGGGTTTTTGTTACATACTGTATATATGCGGATACTAAAATTTACCTTATAAGTATATATACCTCATAGTGTATCTATTGTGTAAAGTTATTTTTAACATCGGGAGGTAGGATTTGCGAGAATAAGTTAACATTAAACGCGATAAAATCTGTAAGAATAGCCTTAACCATCTTATCAAATTTTAATTTTATAAAAATAATTAGCCTCTCAATATGCAAGCGGTCGGATCCGACCACGGCGATATTCCGACAAATTCAAAGAGGTCGGATCCGACCACACAGCACATTAACCCATAGATATATGTTGTGATATTTATGTTTAGAGACTCGTTTTTTATAAAGAAGTTTGGCATTATAGGCTTAATATTATGAAATCTATCCTCTAGTAAAAAGTTTGTTAGTCTATGATTTGACATTTGTTTCTATGGTAAGAACAGTGTTTTATTATAAAATTGATAAAAATCTTTTTACGTAAAAAATTTCGAGTAATATGTAGAAATAATAGTGATTTTCACGCTGCGGACATCCGCGTGGTTTTTAACGTTTTTTGTTATCAAAATACAATAGTCTTTTTGTAATGAAGTAAAACCACCAAAACAAGTTATATAACGTAATAAATAAACAGAAACAAGTATTATATTGATGTTTACAACGATTTTAACATATAAACTTGCAGTCTCCACAGTCTACAATCAGCAAGCCATTTTGAGCTTTATTTTATGTAACTACGGGGTTGAATCTATTATTTGGCAGTGATTGGGATAGTAACGGGATATGTCAATAGTTTATATAGATAAAGAGGTGGTATTTTGTTCGCGTAGTGTATGGCGACCCCCCCACTAGATGGAGTGACGACCTGGTAAGATATGCAGGAAGTCGAAGGATGCAGGTGGCTCAGGACCGTGCTTCGTGGCATTGTTTGCGGAAGGCCTATGTCCAGCAGTGGACTTGTGAAGGGCTGTAATGGTGATGATGATGATGATGAGATTGATTAGTGTGAAAATTGTTAGTACTTATTATTATTGTGGTGTAATGTGTTAATGGTCATGGATCGATGTCATACGATGGGGTACCGGAATAAAATTCTACAGATCTGTTGATAATTTTTTTATTATATATTTATATGAATAATCCATTTTATAAGCATTATTTATATTACAAAAGGAGAGAAGTTTATACTTTATATATTATAGTATGATATACAGTGTAGTGTGAAAATATATGTTTTTATTTATTTATCCTATAGCATATTACAGATGTCAAATTGGAGAGCAAACAATGACCCGCTCGCAGACTTCATCCACATGCTTTATGCTGATGATGATGATGATCTGTCAGAGAACAGTGAGTTTGAGCCAGATGATGATGTCAGTATCCATATTTATGTGTTTTATCATTTGTTAATATTATTGTACAATATTTTATACGTGATAGGGCTATGCTGCAGCTATATTAATAGTATAGTTTGTAGCACGAATGGGTCGGCTCGACCGGGGAAGGACCACGCTTATTATTAATTATATATATACTTGATTAAAACTACTTTTACGGATTTTATCGCGTTTATTTTTACTTTTTATTTACTCTTATTTTTAATTCCCGACGTTTCGGGTGCTTTCCAGCACCCATGGTCACGGGGGACTATATATATATATATATATTTTTTAAAATATTTTTATGTGGATACATACATTCATTATTAATAATTGTCAAATTTAAATAATAAAATAGTAAATGTGTCATTCATTCATTTCTAGAGATCCGATCATATATATTGATAAGTATTGATTCGTCTGGCTCTGTACTCTGTTAGACTCGTTCAATAATGACAATATTAATTATATCAGTCAACTTAAATAATAATCATAATGATAATTTATTTTCAGGAAACATGGTACATTACAGGTTGGTAAATTATTTAAGACCAGCGTGTTTTGTCATAATGTTGACATACAAATATTTATCTAATACATAAATTACATTTTCACAACTAATATAATAAATAACATATTTTCAAATTCATCATAATCATTTTATTACATTTAATTTAATTAAAATAATATATTTGTAATTAGTTCATTTTAATATCGATGCCTAATCCTAATCATAAATTTTAAATATTCTTCAACAGAATAGAAGCATTGCCCCTTAAGCCATTGTATAACAATCCTGCGAAAACATACTTTTGGGAGTGATTGAAACTCTGCAGGCAATGCATTAAAAATTTTTATACACATAGCTGAACAATTTTTCCTATATGGGCTAGTGCTTGGCATTACTGTGTGTGGATAACATCGTAAAGTTGCTGCAGGCGCTTAAGTTCTATTGTCTCTTTTGTGAACGTTTTTAAATGAAGTCGGGAAGCGATGTGGTAATGGATTTTTAAAAGAGTTATTGTTCCGTTGTCACGTTAAATACAACGGTATTGTTTTTGTGTGTTGTTTGTGTTACTTAAAGTTACTTCACGATTGTTGCTGGTGTTTTTAGGATGTCTGGTTCCTTGTCCGGATGCGGCATCATTAAACATTACGGCATGCAGCACAATTTTGTCATCTCTGATAAAGCATTTGACTTTACTTATACAATACAATATCCTTTATTAAACAATGAAAAAAAAATAATATAACAAGAAACAAGCAGAGAAAAAAAAAGCGGTCTTAGGGCTATATAGCAATTTCTTCTAAACAACCCTAAAGGAAATAAAAAGAATTGAAAAGCTAGTAAATGGTAGAGTGCACTATAAATACATAATATAATAATTTAAAAATGTTTATATATATATATATATATATATATATATATATATATATTAAATAAGGATTATAAACCGGAATTATATACGGGAAAGTCTAGACGAGTTTTAACAAGTGATCTGCATGGTTTATCTTGAGGATGGGTGAAGGAAAATCGGCGTCTTACCCTCTTAGGTATGTGGGAGAGGAATGGTTGTGCAAGTTGTTACAGAGGAGACCTAATAATCGAGTGTTCCTTCGAAGTCGAATTGGGAGCCACTTGAATTGCTTGCGAAACTGAGATATTCGGTCAAATTTCTTGAGCCCAAATATAAAACGGATACACTGATTTTGCAAACGCTCAAGTTTATTAAGGAGCGTAGGATTTTATTTTATTTTATTTTTTAGAATAAGTGTCACTAACGAACATCTAGTCCACCTGATGATAAAAGGATGCTATGGCCTACAGACATCTACATTTAGTCGATTAAAAAATTAAAATTCACATGCTGTTGTCACCCCTGAGAACTAAGATGGAATGCCTTGTTTTCAGTAAAAAGTTTCTGCGGTTCTCTACACCTTACACACGAAACACAGCAGCACTAAACTGCTATTTTACACTGGTAATCTGTAAGACCGTGTTCCTTTCCCAGTCGAACCAACCCACTCGTTCTACAACCTCTTTAAATCTACGGGAAAAACAGGGTGATACACGCTACGACAGCTTTCTTGATTTTATTGCCATGTTAAGTCTTAATAAATATTTTGTGTCAGATAGTACGCGGACCGCGGCACTTGTTCGAAGTGCTACTTGTCATGTCAGAAGTGCATCGCACCGCGTCGGGATCAGTGTGCCTTGTGTCCTTCTGGCTGGATGTTGGCCGCCGGCGAATGTCATCCGGAATGCCCGGAAGGTAACCGTTTTTTCGCCTTAGGCTTATTTCAATATTATTCCGCTACAGTCGTATATTTTCTTGAGTCACCAATTATGTAGGATTATTTTTATTTATTTGTTCACATCACAATATTATACATAAAAAATAATATTAAGAGATGATATTAACGTAATGTTAGACATTGAACTATCAATTTTTTTCACACTAGTCGGTCGCACCCTATTGAAGTTGGAGACAACATTTTGGCCGTCTATGCGAGGCGACTGTACGCGATGGACGTAGACGAAGCTTTTGCTGAGATGTATTTTTATTGATTGATGTATATATGTTAGAAAAACAAAGGAAAAAGTGAAGAAAAGAAAATTTTTGGTCCCAAAGAACACCTTTTTCTAAAGTGATCTAATGTGATCAAATCTTTAGGATTTATATCATAGTATTTTTTTCATTATTACGAAACACAATACGTGGTTACAATGTGTTGGGTACAATAAAACGCAACAACTCTGCGTGCACGCCGTGATACAGAGGATTGTCGGGCCCGACATCCGACATAATATTGTGAACAACACCATACTTACTCATAGGCGAAAGAGATTCGACGCCATTTTTTACGGACGTAGAGGACTGGCAAAATACTCGATATTTCTTGTCAGCGCCGATAAAAATACGGTGTCAGATAAGTGTGAACAGCTTGATATAAAATAATATTCTGCCACTAGAGCAGCCGATTTTCTGTTAGGCCCGACACCCAATAAGCGGAAACGGGCTCTTATATTAAAAAAACACATTCTAGCTAAAAAAAGAAATTAAAAAAAAACAATTCACAAATCGCAAGCACTACCAATAAATTTCGAAATTATATTATAAAAAATAAATATATTATAAGTAATAAATAACAAGAATAGTGATGTAGATATAATAGGTGATGAAGGGTGATTAGCGGAAATTTAAACCTATCATACAGATAGTACACGCAGGTGCAGTACACTGTATAGCCAAATAAGGCTCTGACGATCCATCACGATTGAACCTAACCTAAATCCAACTGAATGGTGATTTTTTATACAAGAAAGGGTCACAAACGAGCACACAGTCCGCCACATGGTAAGTGGATAGTGTGGCTCATAGGCATTCACATCTGTCCTCGATGTAGATTTTAAATAAAGTTTCTTGTTACTATTTTTTTGGATCTTATTCACTAGTTAGTTAGATTTCGTTCTGCCCTTTCTGGTAATAAGGCGCAATAAGCTTGCATTTATTAATAACTTCATTACAGCGCCACATATCGGATCCGTGCATAGTTGTAAGCTATCGCATCGACAAAAGAAATTATATCGTGTAAATATAACCTCAATTGGTCAAGTCGTTCGAAATTCACACGATCAGACGCACCAATGATTATATACAAATAAATGGCTTCATGACATAAGCTCGTTCCGCTTACATTGAAACAAGAAATCTATACATGTAAATAAAATTGGAGTGTCTGTCTGTAATCTCGAAATAACTGCCTATTATTGAGTTGAAGGAGTTATTTACAAGCCAATAACACATGAATAACCATTTTTAAATGTGTGTCTGTCAACTTGTATATCTGTCCGGGCTAATCTTTGGAATAGATTAGATATATAGATTAAATATCGAAATCGAATGTAATGAAAATTCACGAACAGATAAAGAGCACCGTCTGCATTGATCTGGACAATATTTATCCAACAAATTCTGGGCTACTATTTTTATTCACAAATCAAATAATTATAAAATTAAATGGTCTTTTGATGGTTACCTTAAATGATGAAACCCGCAAGTGATATTTTTGTGAAGTATTCGCGAAAATAATAGGTCGGAGAAAGTTTCTTCGTACTTTGTTTGTGTAAAATTGAAAATAAAAAATCTCTTTTGTTGTACTGTTTGTATCTGGCTGGTTTTAATATCGACATAATACGTATATAGGACATTAAGAAAAAGAATAAGTAAAACACACTTTCGGACCATTTTTCAATTGTTTTTCTGTCCGCCAAAATAAGTGAATCTAACGAAGAAATTCGATACTAATAATATTCTGAAGCTTTATAACATAAAAGGGAATAAATGGGACTTAAGCTGCGAAAAAAATTTTGACGTTTATGGACCTAATGCAACGTCAGTAAGAGTAGCACAAAGTTGTTGCAAGACTTTTCAGGAATTTTGATGTCAAATATGCAGCTCGCTCTGGTCACCCTCATACGCATAAAGTCGATGCCATTTTCGAAATAGTGAACCAAGATCGGCACATTATTAGTTACCACTTAGCCGAAAAATTGAAGATTGACCACAAAATAGTTTTTATCCATTTTAAAAAGTCTGCCTACACAAAAAATTTCGATATTTGGGTACCAAGACCTAATAAATCGTATACTCATTTGCGATTCTCTATTGAAACGTAATTAAACCATTTTTAAAAAATTATTCTACGTGCTGTTTTCGAGAGTCATTACGAATCGTCTTACACGCAGACTCGACGACTTCCCGCCTCCCGAACAAGCCGGTTTCCGAAAAGGCTTTAGTACCATAGACCACATACATACCCTTCGGCAAATTGTACAGAAGTACGAAGAGTACAATCTGCCACTTTGCCTGGCGTATGTGGACTATGAGAAAGCCTTTGATTCCGTCGAAATTTGGGCGGTGCTACAGTCTCTTCAGCGGTGCCAAGTTGACTGTCGGTATATCTAAGTGCTGAAGTGTTTGTACAGTAGGGCTACGATGGCTATCCGAGTACAGAAACAGAGTACGAAACCTATCCAACTGCAAAGAGGTGTAAAACAGGGTGACGTTATTTCCCCGAAACTCTTCACAAAAGTTGTAAGTCCAACTTCGACCAAGAGGTCCATCGACGGATTCAAGTCGGCTGGACAGCGTTCGGGAAATTACGACACATCTTCTCGTCAGGTATACCTCAAAACCTGAAAACTGAGTTGTACAACCAGTGCGTGTTGCCAGTGATGACCTACGGAACCGAGACGTGGTCCTTCACTGCGGGCCGTATGAGGACGCTCAAAGTCGCTCAGCGAGCTATGGAGAGGGCTATGCTCGGAGTTTCTCTGCGTGATAAACTTAGAAATGAGGATATCCGCAGTAAAACCAGAGTGACCGACATAGCCCAACGGATTAGTAAGCTGAAGTGGCAATGGGCCGGCCATATAGCTCGAAGAACCGACAATCGTTGGGGAAAAAGGTTCTGGAGTGGCAGCCTCGCACCGGTAGGCGAGGTGTAGGGCGACCCCCCACTAGATGGAGTGATGACGTGGTAAAACATGCAGGAAGTCGATGGATGCAGGTGGCTCAGGACCGTGCTTTGTGGCATACCTTGGGGGAGGCCTATGTTCAGCAGTGGACTTGTGAAGGGCTGTAATGATGATGATGACGATTCACTGGTGATGAAAAGTGGATCACCTACGAGAAGAACGTGCGAAAAAGATCAAGGTCAAAGGGTAGTCAAGCTCCACAGACTGTAGCGAAACCTGGATTAACAAGTAATAAGGGTGATGCTGTGTGTATGGTAGGATTGGAAGGGCATCGTTTATTATGTGCTTTTACCGCCGGGCAAACCATTGATTCGGATCTCTGCCAACAAGTACCTAATGAGACTCAAGTAATAAATTGAGAAAAAACAGCCGGGATTGATCAACATAAGAGGAGTGGTCTTTTTTTGCACTATAACGCCAAGCCACACATATTTTTGGCCACGCAACAAAAATTGACCGAGCTTGGTTGGGAAGAGTTATTGCATCCACAATATATTCCTGATCTTGCACCCTCAGATTTTCATCTGTTTTGGTCTCTTCTGAATTCTTTGGGTAGTATTATAGGTTAAGATTAAAAGAGGACTGTCAAAACTACTTTTTTATTTTTTTTTTTGATCAAATTTTCTACAGTAACGGGATTATGTCACTAACTACAAGATGGCAACAAGTTATTCAATAAAAAGGCATAATATATTATGTATAATTAAATGTAATTCAACCTTAAAAAATGTTGAATTTGTATAATATAAAATAAAACTTTTCCTACGACCTTGTAATGGTAATCCTACGACCTTATAATGGTAATCCTACGACATTAATTTTACAATATTTTAATGTTTTATTCGTGTATTACAAAACCATCCTATTGTTTTTGTTTCATGTGCGTATTTTGGTGTTTTATTATATGCCATCTCTTTATCATTCTTGGGGCTCGAAAGGACTGTATCCTTCGTACTTTTGTTGTAAGATGATGTCTAAAGTGTAAATGAGCTTAATAATTTGTTTTTCTATTTCTATAATCAGGCTTCTACCAAAGTGTAGGCGGCTGTCGCCCCTGTCATCATTGCTGCCGGGAGTGTAACGGATCCGGCCCGTTGCACTGCAAGTCGTGTCCGCCCCGCTTTATGCTCGATGGCGGGCTTTGTATGGAATGCCTTGGCTCCCAGTACTACGAGATGAGCAGTGGATTATGTCGCGGTTGTCACAGTACATGTCGCACGTGTTCCGGACCCAGGAGGTTCAGCTTGCTCTAGGCCGCTTCGACTTGACAGGTTTGTATTATAGATTTTTCATCATTGATTGTTATATCACTACTTTTAACATCATTTATAGTTGATTTTTATGTATAAATTTTATCATACTAATAATGGCGACCGGGCTCAACCGAGACTAGCCTTCTGCGCAGGACAGTGTTACATATAGTCCACTATGTGCACTTTATATTTTCTCATTCCAACAGTCCGATGGCAATCCGACAGGACGGAAGAAAGATCAGGCGCATTACCAACGTGCTTTCCCAGGTACGGTGATGAACCACCGCATACTTCCAAACTTCTCGCTGCTATTGTCAATTTCTTGGCAGGAAAACCCAAAACTCGATTTTCAACCCAGGGCCATATGATCAACAGTCCGCGTGCTGCGGGTTCGCATTTCGCTAACAAATATTTGTATCCTTCCAGCCATTCATTACAGCCTATAAAAGTCCACTGAACATAGGCCTCCCTAATACATTGTCTCATGGAGGGGAGGATGTTGCCGTAGTTTCCACGCTCGACAGGAAGAATTGTTATCAGGAAGATGCTGTTCCTATCTCCTGTTTCATTTGCCCAATGTCACCTCTTCCGACAATCTCGGGACGATATCGGGCCAAAAAAATTGTTATTGTTTTTTTTCTGTCTAATTCTCAGTAACAGCCCGGAGGCAGGAATTTGGCGTTGGTTTACCCAGTGTCTCGAAAAGCATTTAAATCCGTTGGATAGCACACCAGATCTCACTTTGGTCGTGCCGGATTGCTGTCCCATCAGACTATGGGTGTGAGGGAGTAAAGAGTTTATCTGTGCTTACGCATGCACTCGGGCACTTTACCTCTGTTCAGCGTGGATCGATAGTCTTTCATGTAAAAATTCTGTTTGGATGATATGGACATTATTAAAGTTATTGGTTGTTTCTCATTATATTTAAGCTAAATGGCGTGTTATAGATTTTATAGTACAGTGTAACAAAACTAATTCTGCTGTTGCACAGGTTGAACAACCAATGTGTGCCTTGCTGCGCAGAGCGTGGGGTTTCCGCTAATTCAACTGCACCCGATTTCTGTCACTGTAATCCGGATAACGGTAAGATTGATCCTTCAAATAGCTGGCTTAGGTCCTCTTTCTCGTCCTCTTGGCTGCTGAGAGTACCCTCTGCGTATTCACTCTTCGAAATCGAACTGTGAGCGACGCTTGTTCGGTAAGATCGAAGCAGTCTAGGATTTAGTTTGATAGACTTGAGAACATCAATACTTTTACTGAAATTTAGCTTTGGCTGGTATGAGACCAATGTAATTAAAAGGTAGTCAATTGTAATTTAATTTAATTTAATTTATGTATTTATTGTTACATCTTATTGATGATGATTTCCTTTGCTTCTTTTTTTTAACTAATTCACTATATTATATAAAGTTCAGGTGTTACGCATAATTGTTAATAGGAAAATATGAATTTGGTCGAAATAAAATAAAGTGTTTATTTCATCATCTTAACTTAAAATCTTAAAAAAGTTATTAATTACTCTTTGAAAATATTGAAACTTTAAAGTTTATAAGATGCACAATTAAATAAATAATATTTCATTAATTCAAACCAATTTTAATTTGGAATCTACTCCCGTTCCTGGTTTGGGTATTTCCAGTCTGGCTTAAAAAAGATTGTTAGATGGGATCTCTCAAAAATATGAATATTTACCTGGGCACTACTTAGTCGACTCTTATGACATCAATGGGACTAAAGAGGAAACTATTGAGTCTCTTACCCAATACACGTAAGTACAAATTCGTTAAATCTAAGTAAAATCCAATTCAAAAGAATAACTAGTTCAAAATGGCTACAATATGATTAATTGTTGCAGGAGAATGCATACATTCGTCTGTTGCCTGCAAGCGGCGTATAGCTGAGTGGGGCGCCTTGCACACCGCGGAGAGCGAGCGTCCCGCTCCATTGCGGTGCGGCGGCCGTCACATTGACTGTGTGCACGGCGGCCGCCACCGTGTTCTTCGCTGTGCTTTTTGTTTTACAGGTTAGTTGATATCGTATGCCTTAGTTGATAAAATAAAACGTTAAGAAATTCTGATAAATATTTGGCTAATGTTGTTTTTTTCTTTCATATATTATTCTGATTGAAATAAAATCTGAATGTACCAGTGCTTGACTACTATCCCACCTGACGGTAAGTGGTGATGTGGTCGAAGATGGTAGAGTGCACTGACGTAGCTTAACAAACGCCTATTCACTCTTGCCTTGAAGACACTAATTATAATGGGATGGAAAGATTGATGCAGGCAAATTATTCCACTCTCTTGCTGTATGATGGTTGGTTCGAATGCGCGGTATGTCGTAAACAAAGGGGTGGAGACCGGGGTCCATGGTCCGTGGAGAGATAATAATTGATTCGTGTAATGCCTGAGCACACTATCCGAAATGTGTCTTATAAAACAGTTTTAGAAACAACAAAAACTATATATCGCTTTGTTTCTAATGTTAGCAAACTTTATTGTTAACTATAATTTAAAACACATAGAAACATCTATAATATTATAGATTTCCTTAAAGACACGCCTAATTCTGTTAATTGTGCTAACTTTATTGTTCTATTTTGTTATATTATTTAGTAGATTCACAGTGATTTATAAAACCTAATAAATCGATGGATTGTTCACGTTATTTGTAAATAATATTTAGTAATGGAATATAAGTGTATATTCTCATCTGAGCTGTAGAGTATCAAGGATAACCATCCCTGACATGTGTTGCCCAATTGTCTTATTTACGTAGCACATATACTAATATATATGTCATATTCCGATGGTTTAATCAAATTATTAATCGAATGGCTAGGGCCTTAGTTACTCTGCAAATCTGCGAGTGTAAACTTTAGAGAAAATGATGAAACGAGGCACTCCATCTTGGTCGTCAGATGTGAAAATGCATGTGCATTCTGATAATTTATCCAAGATAGATATAGATCTCTATGGTCCACAGTATCAGGTGAACTGTGTGCTCATTTTTTACCCTTATTCTATAGAAAAAAGAGCTCTGGTGGTGGTCGTCAAGATAATTACACAGTAAGTGTTTATAATCAATAAACACCTGAAAGCTAAGGGTAGACTTAAGCTTAGGACAGTGTTGACACTGTCACATTGAGTGACATTCACTATAATAATTTTTTGTAATAAAACTTCATTAGAATTTTCTTTTACAGATGCGTAGCGCTCGTCGGCTAAAAACGACAGCGCGCGGCGTCTTATATTCGCCGCTCGCCTGCACCGATGAAGGAGACGTAACAGTTCTAGCTTCGAACATTATATTGTCGAACCTAATAACGAACATGAAAATGAACAAGAACCCCTGCTCGAGCATTCCACATAACGAGTGCTGTGATCCTAAACGCAAGTGACTACCTTTATATCAGCAAAGTTACCAGTTAAAATTGGTAATTTAATTTTTTTAAAGTTCCAAAAATTTTTACACGTTTATTTGACTTTAGATGTTTTTAAACAGAATTGCTTGGGTTAAATATTACTTTGTAGTAACGCTATTTTAATTTAATCGAGAAACTCTGCTTCGCCAATTAGAACGTGATGTATGTAGTTGATCACAATTTTTTTATACAACCGGACATGAATTCAAATACGGACAATATTGCTTAGTAAGCTCGTGAGTGTGCTAAGAGGTGATTATTGGTAGTATTAAGTTCAATTTTTAGTGATATTCAGTCGCAGTTTTGCTAAGGTATTAAATTTTTTTAAGAAGGACCACTTATTCTTTGAGATATTAGGTCTCTGGATTTTTGTCGGTATTTGTGTATTATTAATGAGACTTTAATGCTCGATGTCATCGTAATGTACTCACTCGTCTCTACATTGATATCTCGATGCCAAAATTGATTAATATGATGGATGACAAACATACTGTACACCGTTCAACTAATCAAAAAAAAACCACAGCTTAAAAAATAATTCATAAACAAAATCAAGTTTTATAGTCTTCGTAATAACTGTATAAAATCGCAGCAACATACTACCATATTGTATGTTAGTTAGCCAACTGTAATATAACAAAATAGATATAAATTGTAAGTATATTATCAAAATGTTCTGATAAATAAAAGGTGGGAAACCTTAAGCCGTAAAAACATGTGATATAAGCGCTTAGATCTAAAGTCAGGTGTCAAATTTGGGTTGCTCGTTAACACTCTATCAATAAAAAATTGGTCAAACTGCGTGTTTACCTTTCCATTAAAATTTTTGTAACTTTATTTGTGTTCACAAAATATTTTGATGTTTCCATCAAGTAAATCCATGAAGCGACAGTAGCCTAATGGCAGGTCGCGGATCGCGAACTCAAAAAGGTCGTGGGTTCGAATCCACCATTCGACTACTGTCGTGAACCACTCGTAACACAAGCAATTTAAGCTTACCACGAGTGGTTATGGGGAATATTAGTAATGTTTATAGAATTGTTAATATTCTTTTTAAAAAAATGTTAATATTTTCATGCATTTGAAATTAAATAAACGAGTTCATACTTAATAGTTTGCTGCTGTTAATTCTTTTAGATTTTTAATTGAAACTTAAACTCTCTTAATATTTTCACCTTAAGAATTGCTATTATTATGCCGCATAAAAGAAACTACGAGCGCGACGCATCTTAAGATAAATTATTTACGAGTACTTTGCTTTTAAAATGTATATATGTGAACTGTACAATATTGCTTTTACTTTTAGTTAACTTTTTGCCATACTCTGTGAATGATATTTTAAATTTTAATATTTACAACCCTGGTTAATTTTGTAGTGAACTGTCATAGCTTCCTTGATTTTATCAGCAGCAAAAAAATATATTACAGTATGGATGCGTTTTAAATGCATATTCTCACCTTTTCCAACTACTCTTATCTTCTATAAATAAAATATGGCATTTGAATATTTAGTTATTAATAACTCAGGCCACAGTTGAAGGCGGAGCCGATGTGACATAATTTGATCATCGACGCAATTGACTGAAACTGTAATAATTTTTATGTTAAATACTACCTATTTTAATTAATTATAATAATATAGTGTTTAGGTCCAAAAGTTACCATAGAAAACCTGTACAATTAATCAACGATTTCAAGCGAAAGGATATAGAAAATAATTTTGAATAGGCAAATAAATAAACGTTTTGGTTTTAATATTTTATGTCTTCTTTTAATGTTTAAGTAGAAAAGCTTTCTTATATTTTGTGTCGACATACTTTGTCCTTTTGTGCTTCGAAACTTCATGAAGAGGGTTTACATTTTGCTCTTGAACTATCGCATCTGCTTCTGAAGAAGCCAAGATTTTAATTTGTTTTGTTATTAGCGAATTAGCAATTGTCTCATTCTTAAAGAATCATTTCAAGTGATTCTTCTAAACTGTAGCATAATTTTTATAAAATATATCAATTTTTATTCTAAACATTTTACCATTTGGATCTTAGTATGATTGTGAAGGTAAATTTCACGTTTAAGTCCCATATCTATTTCAATATTTGTTTAAATAATAGCTTATGAAATTTAAGTGTTACCATGGACCATCACAAAATGTATATAAAAGTTAGCTAGATTGTTGAATTGTTTATAAAATGCATATATTATTGTCGATGATAACTAATATTATTAAATTGTAAAATCGGAAAGACACTAACGTTAGGTTATTTTGCTAATTCCGGTTAAAATTTTTGAAAATTAAATGTCAGGTAAACTTTCATGCGGCTTATTTTCTCCGTTTTTTTATTATTGTATGTACTTAGTATAAACACTCTTGAGATCTGATTTGGTAATTATAATAAGTTTTTATATACATATACCTATATTATATTTTTTCGACATTTTGATTGAATTTTAGCTTGATACTAAAAATGGCAAGGCAAAATTCCGCTCAAGGACTACAACTGCTCGGGGCAAACGGAGCAACAAGACCAAGGCGACCCCTGCCACGCTGTCCGTGAATTTCTGCAATATCAGGGGACTTCACTCTAACCTAAACGCCGTTCCACTACCATCTCGAGACGGCGAGGCCGGCTCTGCTCTTTCTGACCGAGACGCAGGTGTCCTCTCCGGCTGATGTCTCGTATCTCTCCTACCCAGGGTACAAACTGGAACACTCCTTTGTGCCTCGGGCTGCAGTTTGCGTTTACGTCAGAGAGGACATCTGTTCTCGACGCCTCGGCAGATTTAAAGGTACGCGTAGACAGCGACGACCATCCGCGCGTCTACGGGTGCCTCTATAGGTCCCATAGCGGTAATGCCGAAACAGATTGACTCTTCGACCACGTCCAAATGGCTACAGATTCGTTGCTATAGCAGATCCCCTCCACAGAGATCGTGATCCTCGGTGACTTTAACGCCCATCACGCCGAATGGCTTGGTTCACGTTTAACCGATCATGCGGGGAGCTGTTCAGTCTTCATATGGTCACACAACTGGTTACTTCGCCTACGCGGATTCCAGATGTGGAGGATCATGCACCTTCCCTGTTGGACCTTCTACTGACCTCTCACCCGGACGGATATCAGATTTCCGTCGACGCCCCTTTAAGCTCCTCGGACCATTGTCTTGTTCGGAGTCGGAGTTGTAGTAGGAGTCCATTAGAGTAGACAAAGGTTATATGAACTTTACAATGAAAGGTCATATAATCCTAGCGTCGAAATTTAAAAGAGTGTCCTTCATAGCCAAGTCATTGTATTTGAGCAACAAAATAAAGACGGCTTCTTATAAAATTAAAATGACATGGAGTTTAATTAATAGTGAAACTGGGAAGGTTAGCTCTCGCAATTCGAACTATCAGTTAAGTTTTAACAATAAATTAATTGAATCAGATCGGGACGTTGCAATGGTTTTCGAGAAATATTTTACTGATATTCCTATCTTAACCAATAAGTCACTGAATTCTTCTCCTGCCATCGCTGAATCATTACTTAAACAAAATGTAAATGCGTGTACAAAGAATTTTACATTCATAAAGTGACATCAAAAGATATTCTAAAATATTTTAAGACTA